GTGGATAAATTGCCAGGAAAGTGTAAAGGAAGGATGAAGGCAGGTGTGGAGGATGGTTTATCTCCTCTGTGGCTGCTGTCAGCTTTCTCCCTCAACAGTCCAGGAGGTCTGTGATTTGTCAGAGACAAGGGAGAGAGCTCGGGAGTGGGAGCGGGACATGCTCTGCAAACACAGCGCCTGCATTTTTGAAGGTGTGTGCTCTGCAATGGGTAATTTGCTCCTTTATTGTCTGCAGAATAACAGCAGTGACAGCATTGACTTTCTCTAATGAACAGCTGCTCAGTGCTAGCATCTATTCCCGGAGGAGGCTCACAGGGATGAATAAGGTTTCATGCTCCTCCTCCAGAGAGGGTGAGAAAGTTCACGGAACACAAGATTGTGGCTTGATTGTTGGGTATCTCCGAATCTTGAACTGCTGACAGCTGAGAGTTGAATGTGTCACCATGCAAGTCATGTTTCACCTTCCAGCACTTTCGCTGAGGCAGGGTGTTTATGGAGTCGGCAGAGAGGTGTTAGTTCCCATCCAAGAAGTCATCCTCTTGTCACTGCAAGCGACCATCACAAATTGGCTGAACAGAACCCACTTTCCTCCTGTTGCACTGCCTCAGTTCTTTGGTGATGCTCTGCACTAACAAGAGCAGGGAGGCAGGAGAGGATGGCTGATGAATTATGGATGCTGTAGAGGCAGAGCCACATTGTAAACTCTTAGAGTTTGAAATCATGCGTGTATGTTATAGCTAAGGCTATAACTTCAAATAAACATTCTGAGCTTTGCTCCAAGCCTCCATCCAAATCCCTGCTTAAAAGTTCCCCTGTCATCCCAGAGCTGTGTTTAGCACCCTACAACTGGGGTTTTATTCAGTAAAAGAGGGTTAAATTGATCCATCTGATTCAGGAGGGCGAAAAGTCCACAAAGGTGACAGTGAGTTCTGATATGAATTCATGGGTTGTTCCTTGGGCTGTGCAAGGGTTTTCCCTAGAGCAGCTTTGCTACTTGGAGAGACAAAACAAAGCTGAGGGGCAAGAAATCTCAAAGCCCAAGTTTTAAATAGCAGCACTGTGACAGCTTTTAATGCCACAGAACGGGCGGCATGGCGCAGATGCATTCAGTGACCTGTTTTGTTCAGGCACTCAAAGATGTTTTGGAAACTGCAGCTCTCGTTCCCTTTATGATCTAACAATATTCCCTCTTGACCTGAACTTATTGTAATGGCAGTGGAGACAAAAAAAAATGATGATGGTTTTACTCTTTGATGTTTGTTGGAATCCTTGTGTGGAGGTTTCCCTGGTTAGCTTAGTTCTTGGGAACTCTTCAAACCCAGTTCATAGCAGTTAACCTGTGATCCATCCTGTCCAGCCAGCCTATTGAGATAGCGAGTGGAAAGTGTACTCTAAAGAGGGCTCAGTTTAAAGAGGAGCTTGACTTGTGGGCTTGCTTTGACAGACCCACAGTGAAATACAAAGCTGGAGAGAAATGAGTTTGTGTGTGCAAGCAGTGTAAGGGGCATTCATCCATGCACACACACCCCCAGGAATGCACTGGGAAAGCAAGCAGAGCTGTTTGGTTTTGTAATACAGTTTCAATAATAATCAGCAAGAAAGAGGTATTGGGTCGGTGCTAATAGGTTTTCCCAATAGCTTTCAAGGCTGAAGCCAGAGTTTTGTCCGAGAGAGAAGGAAACAGAAATGGATGTTTGAGCTGCAGATGCCTGTGGCTGTTGCTGCTCTCCGTTGTCAGAGAGACACTGAGTTTGACTGTCAGGAAGCCCTGATACTAACTCTCTGTCTACCTTCTGCATGGTAAGTATGGAGCTGATAAGTAGCTGGTTGTCAGCCCTTTGGGTCCCCAGGCCTGGGTTCTGCTGGCTGGTTACCTGGCCATCAGTGAGCTCCTTGTTCTTTCCCTTCCAGAGCACCCACGTTGCAGGACATGCAGTACCAGAGGGAAGGGTGGCGCATGGTGCTGCTGCAGGACTGTTCAGGATGAGGGTGGTGAAGCATTTCCTTGCTCCTTCCCCAGCCAGGAGAAGTCTGGGGCCGTGGCACTTCATGGTGACTCTGCTAAACCAGGAGGTTGTGGGGCTGGGCTGATGGCTCCTGGGGCTGTTTCAGAGTGAGGGTTTGTGCAGCTCATAAGATCCCTCTCCTAGTGACTGACAGCACTACAAGGCAGCTGTCCAGGGACCAAGTGATGTGGAACAAGAGCCTTCACATGGAGTTTCTAGAACCTGTAAAGTGCTTTTGCCAGCCAGCACCTGGGGCCATGCACCTGAATACAACAGACAAGCATTTAAGTCAGGTTTGAGGAGCTTTCTCTCTTCCTCTGCCCTAAGCTCGGTAGGGAACGGCGCCTGGAGTTCTG